AGCACCGCAGTTAGGGACATAAGGTTCCTGCCATTGCAGACTTGCACTTCCCCACTTCTCTCTGAATGCAGGTTTAAAAGAAGTCAAAGAGAGGCTCTGTCCTCAGACCCTGGTTTCACATTCTGCAAAGGGGGAAACCAACAACGAGAAACCATAAATACCAGCCCAGGGTCACCCCATAAAGGAGCGGCAAGGCAGATCCAGGGTCTCGGTTAGAGCACACGTCTGCCCAGCCCAGTCCACGATGGTCCACGCAGGAAGCCCTGCTGTGACAATGCTGAAACGTTATTTTAATCTTACTCCAAAGCCAGTTGCCTCCAGTGACGAGGCTTGGTGGCCCTTCTTCTCCCTGACCTACATGTGATTAGTGGCTTTTGACCTCTGGCTTGGAGACCTGGGTAGCTGCCTTCCCATAGGTGGACGCTTTGCTGTGGGGACACAAGTTGACTGTCTCAGAAACTGTCACCCAAAATGCAGAAGTTGGCCATCTGTGGAACGGACAGCACTGGCTGTGGTTTGTGAGACACCAAATGTTGGAGAAGTTCGTCTTTTGGAAGGTTATTAATACCTCCTTTGTGCACGTGCCGCATGACTCCCTGCAGGGGAGAAGGAAAAGGCGCCCCTCTGTCCTGTGGGGAGAGGTTCCTGCTGCCCCAAAGCTGTGCTTCCCCATCCCTCCAGGCTTCCGAACCCTCAGGCTGGGAGCGTGCGGCCTGCAGAGGAGCAAACACCGTCCTCCAGCAGGTTTGCCAGAGGACAGGTTTTGTGCTGTGTGCTGGGTGAAAGGGGGCAGCGCTGCCGCAGGAGAAACAGGGACAGACGTCAAATGCAAGACTGTGTAAGGAGTGCGAGCTGCTCTCGAGGCCCGGGGCATTTAGGCCAGACTCGGGAATGGGCAGTTGTTTTCAGCTGTGGATGCACCTTGGACCATGAGAGTTTTCAAACTCCCGCTACTCAAGTGGTGCCCATACCAATTACATCAGAATGTCTGACACTGGAAACCGGGCATACAGTATTTTAAAGGAAATCTCCAGATGATTCCACTGTGCAACAAGAGAACCCCTGAAACATGCTGTTCCCAGGAGCCAGGAGATACTGTGTTCTCATTCTTCTGGGGTTGGGTCATAGGTCCTTTTTTTTTTTTTTTTTTTTTTTGAGTACTGGGGCTTAGATCTAGGGCTTTGACACTGAGCTACATAGGTAGACCTCTTCTTATTTTTTATTTTGAAACAGGACCTCACTAAGCAGTTCAGGCTGACCTTGAACTCAAAGAAATCCTCCTGCCTCTGCCTCCCAAGTGCTGGTACTACAGGTATGTGCCTCCATCGGTTCACGATGGAGCTTTTCTTGAAGAATTCATCTCGGCAAATTTCAAGGTAGTTGGTGACGGTAAACATGATACTGCCTACTAACGGCCTGCCAAGGAAAATACAGAAAGGGAAACTCAGCTCTATCAGCACCAGGAATGAAGGCCTGTGCCTACTCTAGGTCATCAAGCTTTAAGGTCCCAGAGTTCTGAGAAGTAATCTCAAGCCCTCTGAGGGTCTGCTATGTGTACTCTTTGGGAAGACTGTATCTAGGGCAGAATATAGGTGGTATTGGGGTACACGCCCTTTTTTTTGGACCCAGTATCTTGTTGTATAGTTTCGGCTGGCCTTGAACTCACTAGGTAGTCCAGGTTGGCCTCAAGTTCACAGGGGTACTTCTTCCTCAGCTACCTGAACGCTAGAATTACAGGCGTGTGCCACCACGCCCAGCCGGGACATGCCTTTTGTTTCTCTGTGAACCCTCTTTTGGAGGGCCTTAACTTTAGGCTGCTTCACAAGTCTGAGTGATTTTACCCTTCCTTCCTTTCCTTTCTCTGTCTCTCTCTTTCTTTCCTTTTTTCTTTTTCTTTTTTTCCTTCTGTTTCTTCATGTTTCTTTTCCTTCCTTGTTGCATAAGGAGCTACAGACATAAGGTGAACAAGGGTCACTGCTGTCAACATCTTGCTTCTTGACACGTCTTCCTTCTCCCCAAGAATTCCTTCTTCACAATTCTGTCCTCCTTTCCTCCTTTTTGACCCTTAGTTCCTCTACTTTTTGTTTGTTTGGTTTTTTGGGTTTTTTTTGGAAACAGGGTCTCACGATGCAGTGCAGGCTGGCCTTGAGCTCACTTTGCAGCCCAGGCTGGTCTTGAACTCACAATGGTCCTCCTGCCTCAGGCTCTGGAGTGCTGAGATTACAGGCGTGGGCCACTACATCTAGCTTTGTTTTGTTTTTTGTCTCTTTTTTTGTCTTTTTTTTTGAGACAGGGTCTCGCTCCGCAGTTCAGGCTGGCCTTGAGCTCACTTTGTAGCCCAGGCTGGTCTCGAACTTGCAACGACCCTCCTGCCTCAGCCTCTCCAGTGCTGGGGTTACAGGTGTGCACCACCACCTCCAGCTCTAGCTTTGTTTTTTTGAGATAGGGTGTCACTATGTAGTCCAGGCTGGCCTCGAATTTCAATCCTCCTGCCTCAGCCTCCCAAGTGCTAGCTACCACAGCCAGCTAGTTGTTTCACTGCTACTGGGCCAGTGGGGTTTTTGCTGTTGTTGTTAAATCTTATTCCTCCTTTGGATTCTGCCTCTCTGGGCTTTGGATTCTGCTCTCTTTGCAGCAGGTTTTGGGACCAATGTTCTCCATAAACAAACTGCATATAGGTTGGAAATGCCTCCCTTCTAGTATGTATGTATGTATGTATGCATGTATTTAGAGACAGAGTCTTGCTATATTGTTCAGACTGCCCTTGAACTCACTTTGTAGCCCAGGCTGACCTCGAACTTGTGGTGATCCTCCTGCCTCAGGCTCCCAAGTGCTAGGACTATAGGCATGTACCCCCACCATGCTCGTAGTGTGTCCTTTCAGCTGTGGTTCCCAAAGCAGGTGAGTAGCATGATTGTTTGTATGAGGGTTCAAGGCAAGCCTAACCTATGTAGCAAGACCCTGTCTCAAAGGGAAAAAAACTCCTTGTACACTAAATATGAAAAAAGAAGAAGAAGAAATAAAACTACTACTAGAAGCTGAGTAGGCACTTGCCTGTAATCCCAGCAGCCAGGCGGCTGGGTAAGAAGACAGCAAGTTCAAGGCCAGCTTGGCAATTTAGTGACTGTCTCAAAAATAAAAGGGGTGGGGAATGTAGCTCAGTGGTAGAGAGTTTGCCCAGCATAAGCTAGTTTCTGGGTTCAACTCCTAATACCGAAAAAAAGAAAAAGACAAATTAGATAGAGAAACATTTGTAGCATTTATTGAGTAACTGCTCTATGTTCACTGTGTGCTGGGTGTTTTGTATTATGTTGCTGCATTTCTTTCAGTCAGTCACACAACATTCTTTGAGTACCCACATGTGGAAGATATGGTGCTTGGTCTCAGGATTACATCAGGCTGAAGACAAAGCCCTGGTTTTTCTAGAGCTTAAATTCCAGTGGGTTGGAATGATAATAAAAAAGAAAAGAACCACCAGGCATGGTGGGGCACGCCTGTAATCCTGGCACTTGGGAGGCTGAGGCAGGAGGACTGTTGTGAGTTCAAGACCAGCCTGGGCTACAAAGTGAGCTCAAGGCCAGCCTGAACTGCATAGCAAGACCTTGTCTCAAAAAGACAAAAAAAGAAAAAGAAATATACAAGATAGTGACAAGTACTGTGCAGATAATACAGCCAGTTAATGTGATGTGAAGTAACCTGGCAATGTTACTTGTACAGGGGTGAGCTCTCCGGGATGACACTGGGGTTGGGACCTCAAAACAGAGGAGCAGCCAGAAGAACCCACGAGAGGAGATCTGACGCCTGGAGCTGCAGGGAGGCAGTAAGTTGAAAGCTCAGATGTGAGCAGGAACCCAGCAGCTGCAGAAGAGTGGGTGAGGGGTGCAAGAGGAAGTTACCAAGGAGATCAGAGAAGTACGCAGGGTCCACACCACGGCGGCTTTGGGGCTGCAGTAGAGTGGGTTTCATTCTTATTGATCTGATCTACAATTTATTTTTAAAAAATTTCTCTCGGTATATTCATGATTATAGTCAGACAAGGGAAGCAGAGATAACAGTAAGGAGACTTGGACTGGGAAGCAGGTTTCCTGTGAAAGGTCAGATAGGAAATATTTCAGGTTTTGTGGGCCACAGAAGCTCTCTGTCACACATTCTTGTGCTCTGCTCTTCCTCCTTTTAAACAACCCTCTAAAAATGTAAAAGAACATTCTTAGCTCTTGGGCAATACAAAAACAGGAGGTTGCATTCCAAATTTGAGCTGTGTGGCTACACAGTAGTTTGTGGGCCTCTAGTCTGGAGAAGAAAAACTGATTAGCATCTATTTAGGACAGAGAACTGATGGGACTTACTGAAGACCTGGCTGTGCAGGAGGCAGGGTAGGAAAGAGGAAGTAAAGATGGTCTCAGGGACTTGGTGGAAGGTGATGCTATTTACTGAGATGAGAAGAAAGCAGATTTGAGAGCGGGGAGGGAAAGGAAATCAACAGCTAGCTAAGGATGAATTGACTGTTAGTCATCAAAGTGGAGCTGTGGAGTCGGGAACTCAGAATAGATTCTGGAGTTTAGGGAGAAAGCTCACGGCTGGACATCCACGTTTGGAAGTCACCAGCCTGTGGATGTGGGATTAGATGACACCACCTAGAGCACACACACATTCCAAGACCAGGTCCTGAGGGACTCCAACATTTAGAGGACCCACTGAAAAAATTCTTGGAATCATAAACCAGATCAGAGTATGACACATGACAAACACTGCCGAACTGCCTTCCAAGGGGTCTTTCATATCTTCACAGAAGCCATCTTGTCTTAGCTGTGTAAATATACACTGGGAGGGAGACTGCACACATGGACGAGCAGGAACACTGCAGTCAGGGGTTCCTGACAGCTCCAGCACTGACACCGAGGAGGCTTAAGCCACCCTGGAGGATTACGCTGGTGGAAGGAGGTAGCAGGAGAGGACCGAAGCCATTCTAGAGACTCCCAGCCACAAAATCGCCAGCAAGCTTGTTTCAAATGCCAATTTTAAAAATACTTTTATTAGTACTTGTTTGAGGTACATAATGATCACATTCATGGTGGGGAGCTGGTCCATGCACAGAACATGTCTTAATTTTTTTTTTTTTTAACGTCCTAATTCTTTATCCTTCCCCTGTCCTCCCTCCCCAGTCCTCACAAAGGCTGATTTTTAGTAAGAGCTTCTGATTCACTGTCTGGGTACGGTGTACTTTAAACATGCTCCCTCTTTTTGAAAGGAAAAGTTGAGAAGCCTGTGGCTTAGGGCTGGACCAGATGAAGGGCGTCTCTTCCTGATGTTTCTTTACCTCCCAGCCTTCAGGAGCACAGGAATCTTAGCTGGATCTGCGGGGGAAGTTCCGGGATGACTGGATGGCAGAGGGCTGGTGGCCAGGAAGAAGAATTTCCCTTAGTTGTGGGGCCCTTTCCCTCTGCTCTCCAGTCCCAAAGGAGGCTTTCCCGTCACACAGATGTAAAATGGCACTGGCTTGAATGCAGGTGCAGCATTAAAAGGTTTCGGTTCCCTAGGGATTTTAAGGTTTTGGTTCCCTCCAACACCATAGCACAGGGGGAGACTGAAACCTTCCACACTGTAGGTGGATTATAGATTAAATACATTTGTATAAAACAGCGAGGAATAATACAAGGAATTTGCTTTTAGGTCTTCTCATAGGAGCCAAAGAACCAGCCTTACATTCACAGAATTGTCATTTATCCTGCCCAGGTAACAGGCACTATTTCAGGTTAGGAAGATAAATCAGCTATTTCCTTACCTTCACAAAATAGACATTTGAGTTAGACAGACTGGCAAACACAATACATTAGTAAAGTAACCGCTACATGAAATAATGGTGAGAGCTAACGGGAAAATAATGAAGGTCAGAAGGTAGAGGCAGAAGTATAGGAGCCAGGAATAAGTGCGAACAGAGTGGGCCCTTGGCTTTTGAACTCAATCCACTCCCAAGAGCTGGCTGTAACTCTTGTTGTCACTGGAAGGCTCAGGCTCCTACACAGCCTTCAAAGCCTTCCCCTGTGTACAGGTATTGTAATGGTCCTTCCAGAACTCTTCAAGCATTAAATCTGTATCTGAGGCCATCTGGAAGCACAAGCGGCTGGCACGAGGGTCATAACTCAAGACTTCAGTCCTAAGTTAAAACTAACTCTGGTCGTAACCCAAGTTGTTCCTATGTCATGTCAGTCGTAACACGAGGGTCTGCTGTGCAGGACAGGAAAGGTCTTTAGACCAGTGGCACAGGAAAGCTGCTTCTCTGAACCTGTTTCCTCATCTATAAAATGGGAAATAATAGCACCTGCCTGAGGAAGGTCAGCCCTTTGTCATTTCTAAGCTGTGGGATTTGGGATAAGAGACTCTCTTTGCCCAAACTTTATGCAGACTGTTGTGAACTTTCTTCTCAGCTAGGCTTTGATGTGTGGACTTCTGTGTCTGTGCACTGCCTGATTTTAGCAAGAACTCTGCTAAGTCAATTTAGCCAGAATCTCCCCCTCATCCTTGATATTTCCTCTTAGTAATTTTCCATCATCGAATCCCACCCTGATCCATGACTATAAATTCCTGCTTTTTCCTGTATTCAGAGTTGAGACTGAGCTCTCTTTTCTACTACAAGGCGCCATTATGGTAGTCCCATGAACAGGATAGCAATCTCAACAATCCTCTTGCATAGCGTCTGCTTTAAAGTTCTCTAAGAAGTGTCATGAATAACTTTTCACAGACAGTACAAACCTTCTTTGACTTCTCAGAAACTCAGTGTCCTCATGTGTAAACAAGGAATATAAGCCCAGAGCAGTAACATGGATCTGTTGTCCCAGCTACTTGGAGGGTAAAGCAAGAGGACAGCTTCTATTTCACAGGGTTTTTTTTGAACTATGTCAAATGAAATTTTTAAGATACATGAAACTATTCTTTTATGGCAGCAAAGTTTGATTAAAGGTAAGAAAAGAAACAGGCTCTGCAGAGTGAGTTTGGGCCAAGTAAAACAAGGAAAAGAAGTGCACCCTACAGCGCAACGACTGGCCATCAGGCAAGAGAGAACACAGTGGCTTGTTTGTTGGTTGGTTGGTTTGAGACGGGCTCACTGTCTAGCCCAGGCTGGCCCTGAACTTGCAGCAGTCTTTCTGTTTCAGCTTCCTGAGCGCACCACCATGTAAGATATGTATGTTTGTTTTGTTTTGTTTTTGTTTTTGAGACAGGAGCCTGCCATGTAGTTCAGGCTGGCCTCAAACTTGCAGCGATCCTTTTGCCTCAGCCACCCGAGTGCTGGGATTACAGGTGTGAGCCACTACAATAAAAATATTTTAAAATGTATAATCTATTATGAAAATGTAAAGGAAACATGTACACAGGTATTTTATGGGTGGCAAACCTGTTGCAAACGGTCAGCAGAACCTAAAGACTTCAAATAACAAATTAGATAACTGTTTGTACTGACTCCCCACATTGGCAGGGGAAAGGCCAATGCAAATTACCAGGGTGTACACAGTAGATAACAATCTTATCTTACATCTGAGATCGGGGATAAAACAACCAAACTCAATGTTCTGAAGTGGACACCTCATAAAGTAATTATTACATGGCATTTGTCAAATTTTAAAGTGCTTAACCACTTCTTTACATTTGTTCTTCTTTATTTATGGGACTTCAGTTCCAGGAAGAGAACTAAGTGGACTTAAAAGAGTTACAAAAAACAAAAGAACAATTTAAATTATTAAATTCATCTTCTGGACTATTTGCTAATGCTCAATAAGCATTAATTAATGCGGACAATGACTAAAAACATAAACTACTGTATACTCGTTACGTTTCTTTTTTGTTTGTCAGGCTGGCCTCGAACTCGCAAGGATCTTCCTGACTCAGCCTCCGGAGTGCTGGGATTACAGGTGTGCATCACCATGCCTGGCCTAGGCCTGTTTTGTTTTTTCAAAAGGCAGAATCTTACTCTGTTTCTTAAGCTGGCCAGCAACTCCCATGCTCCAGCATCTTTCTGCTCCATCCTCCAAAAAGCTGGGACTACAGGCACATGCTATTGCTCCGGTCTTGTTCTTGTTTATCTCTATATTCTTCAGCTTTCAACATCAGATTCATATCTACCTATCTATCTATCTATCTATTTATTTATTTATTGTCTTTTTGAGACAGGGTCTCAGTATGCAGTTCAGGCTGGCCTTGAGCTCACTTTGTAGCCCAGGCTGGTCTCGAACTCACAACGATTCTCCTGCCTCAGCCTCCAGAGTGCCGGGATTACAGGTGTGCACCACCACGCCTGGCCTGAAGGCATCTCAGTAATGGTTTGTTAGACCAATAAACATGCTCCTGTACAAGCTGGTAGTGCCTGGCACACAGTCGCTACTCAGTAAGTGGCTGTGTGGTGAATGCACGAATGTTTACAGGTGAATCTGCTTGATCTGGACTCGTCTACTTGACCCACAAAGCTTGCATCTGAAACAAATGCTTACCTCCCTTTGCAACACTAATCTGCTAAATCTTACTTTATGCCCATCTCTCAAACTGTACCAAAATATTGTCTTATTCCATATAAATAAAACATTCACCTTTCGTTTGAAGATAACCTAGCACTGCAAAGGCTCAGTGTTTGCCCAAAAATAAGACGCACATTGAGAAAGCCAACCGCGTACTCCTGCCCCCTCAGGGGTGTTAACTGGACAGCTACCTGATCACATTCATCTGGGGAGCTCTACATCTTCTGATACTGGCTCACACTCACTAGTAGCCACATTCAAATCTTCCCTTGAAATTTTTCTCTCAAGTGCCTCAATGTTCCTGCTGTCACCAAAGCGGCAAGGCTCACCCTCGGCCGGGCACTGCCAGGCTAGGCTGCCGGTGGGCGGGCCCAGCGAAGGGCTTTGTGGCTGTTCCCTATTGGGGCTCTGTTGCTACGGGGTCACCGCCCTTAAAGCTCTCAGGCACAGCTTCCGGAGGCTGACAGAGAATTACTTCCAGGGCTGCCCATACCTGACATGGCCGACTCAGTCGTCACTAACCTCAACAACACTAAGACTTTTGCGCTATTGCGCTAAGAAATGTTTTTAACCACTTCAACTGGCGACCAGGACACGATACCATAACCTTCTCTCCCTTTCAAAACACTCTGGCATACATTCATCCGTTCGCCAGTCTCCAAAATGGCGCCAGCAGCATCACGAGGTCAGAGGTGAGTCACGTGGGCCCTCCCGGTTCCGGCGCGGCGGAGGTCCCGAGTGGTGAACGAGGCTCCGGCACCATGACTGGTTCGTCTGGCCCGCAAGCCCGGCCCGGCCCCGGCCCGCTGGCGTTGCTGTTCTTGCTCCTGCTCGGCCCCAGCTCGGTCCTCGGCATCTCCTTCCATCTGCCCATTAATTCTCGCAAGTGTCTCCGCGAGGAGATCCACAAGGACCTACTCGTGACGGGCGCGTACGAGATCACCGACCAGTCTGGGGGCGCCGGCGGCCTGCGC